TATACACATATATATATATATATATATATATATATATATATACATACATATATATACATATATTTTCACACTATATATAATGTTACAAACACAAGCTTAGTTTTAGATCTTAACTTTACAACGAATTAGTCATTTCCGCATTTGATGCAAAAATTCTACAGCGTAGCTTTACAGCTTGTCTGTTCTGTATATATGAAAAAACAGTGTGTAACCAATGCACTGTTGTGATAATTAGCTTTAATAAAGGCTTATCTTAATCAATATAAGTTAACATATAGTAACAAAAGTCCTGCGATACGGGACTGTGCGATCATTGTAGTCCCTTCAACTTTCTCCGTCTAATCTAAGGAAAATAAAGTGCGAATTTACTTTGAAAACCTTCAGCATAGTGAGGAGTTTGCGATAAAATATACGTCCATTCAGATATTCAGCGGTTTACGGTCTCATTTTTCTTTCAAATCAACTTAAATTCCCTGCAATTGTAAATTAGGTACGCATTGCATACACGACGTAAATAAATTCGTCGGTTGAAAACGGGATAGAATGTACAATAGTAATCGTTTGCCACAGGCACAATTAGTTCAGCGTAATGCCATTGTCGTCGTCTATATCCATGACGCTGATCGGATCCAAAGACGGCATGTCGGCACTCTTGCGTATCTCACGCGATATGTTCTCCAGCGTCTCCATTTCGACCTCATCCAAGATCTTATTATTAATGCTGTCTTCACGCTGCTGAACTTCGGCGGCAGCGAGCTCGAACACCTCCTTCAATATCTCGCTCGCCGCATCCACGGAGCTATTATCCGGGATATAGGTCGAGTTTTCCTGTATTTCATACTTGCTATTCATCGAATTCTCCTCGACCAAATTCTCGAGCTCCTTCAGCTCATCCTCCATATTCTTTTTCTCTTCAGTCGAATCGTCCGCTGGGACAGTTTCCTCCGTGACTTTCTTACACGTTGCATCGTCGTTATTTACTGGACCTGCCGCGACATCATCGCCGAGGTCTTCAACCTCGTCGTACTTCTCGCCATTTGAAATATCTGGCTCGACGGTATCTTTTACACTATTAGGTTTATCACAATCTACCATCGTTTCGATTTCCGTATTGTCTTCGTCTTCATAGAACTTACTTTGCCGTTTCTCGAATTCCTCAATGTTGTCTTCATTTTGAATTATTAGGTCATCCAAATCATTTTTGTGACTAAATATTTCTGTTTCGTCAATTGGCAGAATTTGTTGGACATTTTCCTCCGACTCTTTTGTATCCATCTTCGAGGACTCATCCGTTAAATCGCATTGTACTTCTGGTTCGTCTGTTATCTCATCTTTATCTGTGCAGTTATTTTCTAAATTATTTTTACTAGCTCTATGATCTTTTTTATTCTTGGTATTACGAGTTGATAAAATTGGCGAGGACCTATTCGTTTCATCATCGAGCATTGCCTCGTCATAAAGATTTATCGTTTCATCTTTATCGTTATCATCTTTGTCGTTATTACATTCACTAATAGTATTTTCTTTTTCTGTAGGAGAAACTCTCGTGTCGTTCTCTGTGTTTACATTCTTGTCTTTCTCCTCGTTCACGTTTTTATTCTCCAGTACGGAAACAACGGTTTCTTGCGCATCCTCATTTTCAGATTTGTCGCTGTCTCCGTTTGTCGATGTCTTCTTCTTGTTCTCCGTCGTAGGTTCGTTCTTTGTATCTTTACCCTGCTCGTCCTCATCATCCTCTATCTCTAACGTCTCGTCTGGCGCGACCGCTTTCGTTTCGTCCTCTATCTCTATCGGTTTGTCCGGCGCGGCTGTTTCATCCTCTATCTCTATTGGTTCATTCGGCGCGGCTGTTTCATCCTCTATCTCTATCGGCTTGTCCGGCACGGCCGTTTCGTCCGGCACGACCGTCGATTTTTCATATTCTTCAGACTCTGTTATTTTGGCGTTTTCATCATTCGCCGATTCTTCTTCTATACGCGACTCGCTCTTCGCTACGTCCGGCTTGTCGGTCGCGTCACCGCCTTTATCACTCACCTCTTCCACTGTCTTTTTCTTTGCATTCTTTTTACTGGATACGCTGAAGATCTCCTCGTCGTCGGAGTCCTCGACATTGATCGAGACATCCTCCGACGGATCGTCGGTACGTTTGTCGACGGACACAGTTCTACGCGGACGCGACGGGGTGGTCGCTTCTTCGGGGGTCTTCTCATCCTGCGAATCGAGTTCCATCTCCGGCTTCTCCTTAACGCTCGAAACGTTCAACTTTTCTAGCTTTATCGCAGCTTGCTTGAGATGCGTCAGTCTGTGTTTCGCGTTGGACAACTTGGTGTCGAACTTCTTGTTGCATTTGTCGCAAACGTACTCCGTCTTGACCTCCGAGACTTCCCTCTGCGTTCGAGACTTCGGGCTCTTGAATTCCGTCGACGTCGTTTCCGTGCTGGATATAGACGACGATCTCGTCCTACTGCGGATGCTCCTCTCTTCTTTCCTCGTGGACACAGTCGACGTACTCGTCGCACTTCTCGTCCTGTTTCGTAACGCCATGCCGTCTTCGTTGGACGTATCGTCGCTAGACGCGTCTGAACGCGCGTTTGAGGTAGTAGGATCCTCAACATTGGATTTCTGTTTCTTTCTATTTGGCTTATTTACACGATCGTTCAATTTCACTCTAGGTGTCTCCCTTCGCTTCGGAGAACTGTCGGAATCCGTGCTCCTCTCGTCGAGTATTCTTTTACGTCCTTTCCTTGTCACGTAACCGACGGACTGCGGCTCGTCGTCCAACGCCTTCGTCGATTTCATCTCGTTCGAGTTCGCGCGTTCCTTACGCAATCTCGTCACCTTCGACGGCGTACGCTCGACGTCGCTCTTGGACTTCTGATCTGACGTGTCGATTTTCCGTTTTACCGCTTGTCTCTCCTTACCGTTGACTACGTGATTTCTCGTTTTAGGCGAGACACTCTCGGGAACAGGATTACTCTCGGGGGATTTCACCTTTTCCTGAGAATTGTCGTCCAATGTGTTATCGTCCTTGCTCTTCTCCATCTCGTGCGTCTCCTTTTTCTTGTACAATTCCTGGCTCAGCACATCCTTCAAGAAAACTGCGCACAATTTCGTTTCCAAATTGGGTTGCGCCACCTGACGCGATCGTCGCTGCGGCTTGGTACCACTCGGATCCATCGTGATCCAACAGTTTTTGCACACAGTCAGTCCCGTGTGATAAAATCTGTACATGTCGATACCAGTCGCAACCGTATTATGACACTCGTCGCAATTCCTGACTTTCGTCTTGCTGCCTCGGGATTTAGATTGCACACTACCGCGCGGCCTGCCGCGCTTCTTGGCGTCCTGCTTACCGCGTCGTCCCATGTTCTGCTCGTTACTGTCGCTGTCAGAATTTACCGTGCCGTAAAATGTAATATCTGGAAACGTGGTAACGGTCGTTTTGCGATTTACAACTTCTGTGTGTACCTGCAATGAAGTGCGATTGTAATCATTAATAATACAAATGCCAAACTTGCGACATAAAAAAAGAGAAGAATCAACACAAATAACAATGTAATTTGAAACATATATAACTCGATGCAATTCGCAATAATTTGTTGTTACCTTTGGGAAATCCGAGTAGCTGATCTCTTCATCAATCAGAGCCCTTAAATTGATGACAGTTTCCTGATATATCCTTTTTAAATCGTACAAAACGTCCAAGTTATATCGACATGTTAGACATATTAACTTTGACTCACCATTCTTCTTGTCGATCTGCAAAAACAGGATACTTTAAATATATACAGGCAGTCACATCACTTACTTGTCTCGAAAAGGGCACAAACTTACACCGTCATTGAAAATGTTGCGGATCTTCCGTAAGGGATTAAATATCACGCTATTGTCCTTGGTAATATCGAAGATACGGTCACTGTCCACTGATTCATAGCACAGGAAGCAGCATGGCACTGACGACGTGTTGGCTTGCGGCTTCGTCACCTCGTGGGACTTCTTGTACTTTTTTACAAATTTGGTGCACTGATCTAACTCGTACGCGCACTTGTAACATATCTTGTTTGACAGTTTGATGCTCTCGTTAATCTAGGACAAAACGGATTACAGAACAAGATTACTTTGACAGTTCATCTTTCACCTTGAAATTATCCAATCATTATTCTAAATTCTAATCAGCCTTCTTTCGTCGCGGAATCAAAGGAGGGAAAAACTGGATTGTTCAGGCTGCGTTCAGGTTTATCTGCTCAAGTGTTACCATTGTACCATCTTATTCCTGTTGTTCACCGAATGTTGAATAAAGAATAATATGATACAACGGGTGCACCCAGGTGAGGAATCTGAACACATGATACGTGGTATACACATACATAATTAATTGCAATTTTCACTGGCAAATGAAACGATGTAACGGCTCAGTATAAACAGTATGTAACGAATAACACAACATCCAGTTTTACAGTCATATCCGCGCATAAATTATTCGCAAAAACATTCGAGCGCGAACAAATTCCTCCCGAATGTCGAGCGATCGACACATACAGAAGGAGAAATAAACACGAAATTGCAAATCGGTGCCAAGATAAAGATTATTCCCCTGCCATTCGCCGTGTGTACATACACGAGAGCTCTGTTTTCTGTCGTGTACGCTTGCACTTTTTGCACTCGCAGATCCACGCTCTCGCCCTCTCACTGTTCGACGCGCGAACGCGCGATATACCTATCTCGCTTTAAGTGCAGACATTTCTCGGGATCTCGTGCAACGCGGCTGAATGTGCATTTTTATATATCATACGTATATTATGCGTGCACACACACACACACACACACACACACACACATGAGGTACGGCAAAATGTCGGTAAAACGAGATACAAGGTCGACAAAGGATTACCGCACGGTCGTTTCATTCTTTGGGAGCGAAGGGGAGGGAGGGAAAAGTACCGTTCCGTCACTCCGTCGAGCGAGAGAGAATCGAAGCTGACGGCGATTCACAGGGCTCGATTACTCGCGTCCCAGTCATCCCTTCGCGATATCCCGAACTTTGGAGCTGTCCGTCACGGCGTAGTAACATCTACATGTAGTTTATTCCAACTCTCTCTCTCTCTCTCTCTCGCTCTCCCTTTCGATATTTGTTTATCTCTTTTCTCAAGCGCAGACTGTAGAAACCCGGTGGCAGATGGCGTGGCGCGACTCGTCCGTCGTAGCACGCGTGATCACGCGCGGCGCGGCGCGACGCGTGCCTCGTTAATTGGCATGAAATGAGTAATGACGAAATTGCACCCGAATCCTCGGTCCGATTTTGCACGGGATCTCGCGACCTCTCGCAGGCACGCGCGTTCGCCGACGCCTCGGGCGGCACGCGAAGCGACCGAGCAGACGAGTAGCTGAATCTAACCTAACTGAACCGGCGCAGCTCTAACCTAAACGTCCTCTCGAGTCGAGGGGGGGAGATCTCGACCGCGAGTACCGCGATTGGGGAAACGAGATCCGCGGCGAAATTCGAGGGAGGCGTACTCGCCGCGATGAAACGATTTCGTCGCTCCTCGAAACGGAAGGTGCGCGACAGCCTTACGCAGATCTGCCGTTTTCTCTCTACCATGTTCTCCCACTGTCTCTTCCCTTCTCCACTTCCCCCGGAGTCGAGTTTGGTTAGAATTAATTTTTCTCGTGCCCGTCTCAAAATGTCGACCGTGCTGACGCAGCGAGATATGTCGTTAAAATAAAAACGCGTGAATCAAATGTTCCCTCCCTCCCCTCCCACCCTCCCTCCCACGCCCTCCCCTCCGCGATTCGCTAATGTGTCGCCGATTGTACCTTTGCGGACAGACAGGCCTCGATCTGACAGCCGAACGTGCTGCGGTTGTCCAACGTGACGTCCAGGAAGAGACCCTCGTCGCTCGCACACACGAAGCAGTATTGGCCGGGCATCGCGACGTGCCGAGAGCGTGTCGATCATTAAATCAGCAGGGTTGTGGGTAGCAGAGTAGCAGCCGCCTCTCGGGGCCGTCCGGATGCCGGGGCCACGATCGCAAGGGGAGAGATCCGAGAGATTCTCGACCGCGCACACCAGCCCGGCGACGTCCGTTGTTTTCGCTAATCGCGCAACAAACAGCGACGACCGTAACGGGGCGGAGAAAGGGGGGGGAGGGGACGCGCGTACTCGATCACCGTTGATCACCAGAGAATTGGCGGTAATTCTCATGAGTCTAACGCGTGGTAAACATGGCGGACCGACTCCATCATGTATCGTATCGATACGTCGATATATCGAATGATACAATCGAAGATGCTCGCCGTCTCGTTCTCGGAACCAACAATGTTTTTCAAGTGTTTTTAAATGTTATTTAACATTATAAATATTAATTTATATTGAAATTATATTAAATATTTATACAAAAAAAATATTGCTTGTTGATTGGGACGCCGCACAAGTTTTTCCGACTACTCGAGAACTTCTCCGTCCTGCGGTGTAATAACAAATTTGTAAAATTTGTACGAAAAATGTAAAATCAGCCTTATTCGCTAGAATTAATTGTCGGCGATTTTCCGAACCCGCGCGCGAAGATCGACTGAAGTCTGAGACCGGCCGGCGCCGCGGCGATGCGATTAATGATGCCGTGTGTGTCCTGCAGCTGCATCGCAATTCGATATATCGATCATTCGCGGCACACGATTGTCTTTGAGTTCAAACTCAAGACAATCAGTTTACGCGACGCTGAACAACGCAACGCTTATAAATGCCTTGAATTGTACCTGGCCAAAGGAGATATAAAAACGAAAACGAAATTTATTTGAATAACAACGTAAAACAGCTATCGTACAAAGATACATATTTCGCAGTCAGAGGCTAACCGATCGGTCGTTCATATTTTGTCTTTCGCATTTTATCGCGTTTCTGACACTTGCCGTCGAGCGTCTTTTACCATCGAGACGATTGCATTATCGTGTATTGCTCAATTGACTATATTATATTTTTATATCGCAATATGTTTCGTAGCTAAAGCCTGCTTAAAGTCCGCATTAGATTACGCACTGGAAATTGAAGATTGCAAATTGACGATTAGAATTTTAATAACTCAAAAATCAAAATGAAATAAAATTATCTTATTTGTCAAATTCTAATCTTCAATTCGCAATCCTCAATGTCCAGTTTATAGTCCGATACCGACTTTTAGATGCCTTATAATTCGCGCCTGATTTCAGGATAAAATTCCGTTCCGAATCCCGACATGAGTTACAGACAATTCTGTAACTCTGAAATAGATTTGAGATTTATATTTTAGCATGAACAAACGCGCGATGCGGAAATACGTGGCTTGGAACATCGCGGTGCACTCCACGACGAAAGTCTGAGTGCGAATCACGCCTCGCATCTTCACCATTCAGCTAGACACCTTCCGGATTTCCTGTGCGGTCCCGCTCGCTACCGACAAGTCCTCTATTCGGTCCTTCGTCCCGCCAAATAGAAGCCTGAGGGTTTCTAATGCTGACGTGAATATATTCCTACAACGTACGAAACAAACACATCGGAAAAGATTATTAATTATATATACACATTATACACTATATTAATTTATTTATCTTAAGAAAATTGACCGAGACTATAACATATAACATATAATATTATTATACTTATCAGTTAATTTCGAGAATTGAATTTTAACAATTTGATAGAATTTTATTTTCAAATTTGATTTTTATTCTATTGTTTGATAAGCTAATCGCCGTTAGTTATAATTTGACCGAAGTTAATTCTCTAATTTCCACATGATGTAAATTAACGAGGATATGTGATTAAAAGTTGAAAGTCGTGAGATTAAGTTTGGGAGAAGTGTCTCTGAAAAGGATGGTCTTAAGAGGGATTTTACCTTTGCCAGTCGTAAAATTAACCTTTGTTTTATGAATTTTTTTAAGGAAATCTATTGTATATACAGTAAAACGTGGGTTTTTACATAAACTTATACATATATTATTTGAACAGAAAAAAAAATATTTTTTTATTTATATAAAAATGTATTTTAATGCCTCCAAGTGGCGATAGAATATGGCATGTTTTCGAGCTGACAAAATTATAATTACGAAAAAACGAATTAAGATATCGACTATTGATTCTTTTTTTCTCTTGATCCTAGTACTTTAACGCATGGCGTGAACTAAAATGATGTCAATTGCCTGAAATTTGTAAAAATGATAGCATTGAAAAAAAAATTTTTTTTGCCCTAAAAATTTTTAAAATTCTTATTAATAACAAATTGAATGTTTATTGTAAAATCATCATTGTAGTTCACGCCATGCTTTAAAGTATTAGGATCAAGAGGAAAAAAGAATCAAGTCGATCTTAATTCGTTTTTTCGTAATTACTTTCGTCAGCTCGAAAAACATGCCACATTCAATCGCCACTTGGAGGCATTAAAATACATTTTTATATAAATAAAAAATATTTTTTTTGCTGTTCAAATAATATATAAGTTTATGCAAAAACTCGCGTTTTACTGTATACAATAGATTTCCTTAAAAAAATTCATGAAACAATTAGGGTTAATTTTACGGCCGACAAAGATGAAACCCCAACCCTTAAGGGCATTTTGTATACAAGAATCAAAAGGGCGGAGGCACTTGCTCCGTCGAGCCTCGACGCAGCTGGGGCCATCACCTGACGCCGTCCTTCACGTTCGAGTAGATCTCGCCGGGTGGCAGCTTCACGGAGGGCACCTTCTCCTCCACGAAGTCCAGCCCGACGCACACCGCGCCGTCGACGGACTTGAGCGGCGTCTCCAGGAGACCGGCGACCCTACCGGTGACGGGGCTGGCGAATTCCAGGCCGGCGCGCATCCCGTTCTCCGCGTAGCCCAGTAACGTCGCGACCGTCTCGTGGGAGCCGCGCACGGCCGTGTACGCGCCGCAGAATGCCGACGTCACCGTGGCGAACACCGGCAGGCCCAGGAGACGGCGCGTGCACACCATGCCGCGCGCGTCCGCGTCGCCGGCGTTCGCGGCCGCGACCCTCGGCGCGGTGGGATCGCGCGTGCCGCACATGACGCTCAATTGCTGCGGGATAAATGGCACGGCGGGTGGTAAGAGGAGATCAGGTGTTGCATAGCGATCAAAATACACAGAATTAACTCGCGGGAATAGTCACCTAGTTTTTTCTATATAAACTCATTCGGATGTTTTTTTACATCCTAATTGAAATTACGAATAAAAACACTATCATTAATTACTAATTGTATATTATTGATTGTTCTATAATTTATTTGTATTTTTGAGATCATTACTTAAGATTTATTCAATATGTATTTTTTTTAAGAGAAAAAAAATGGACATATGGTTTCTTGATTAGTAAAGAAAACTAATTGTGAGCCTTATTTTTTCGCTACTGGAGATAGGTATAAAAATCACCTCAAGTGACTATTCTCAAGGTTAAGTCTTTTTACTTTAGAGAATCTACAATTCGCGTCAGGTGGCAAGATAGAATTCTATGTATAATTTTATGTACGTGCAAAATACATATATGAATAATTTCGTACATATTTTAATTACTCATGATTTTATACAACGTAAAAACGTATATATGTAAGATTATAAATAGAACCCATCTTAATAATGCCGTATATTTTAATATATTTTTTTTACATAGATCATTCTAATTCAAATTTTTTCATTCTATTATTCGATAAATCAATCGCCGAGTTAGTTATAATTTGGCCGCGCGAAATCATCTCTAATGTACATTTTTCACGTACTATAAATTAATTTGCTATTTATTTTTTTCTAATTCTCAGAGAACTAGAAAAAGAACTAGAAAAACTAACCGCCGATTAAAGTTGATCTATATTAGGGCTCGGCACGCGAGTCCTGATATAGATCTATATCGATGGCCCCAAGTCACGTGCAAATTCGTGAAATTGTCATCGATCTCGCGGTTCTCGCCCAATCGATCAAAGATTAAACCTTATCTCAATCACGTAAAATCATCTGAAGCTTTTCGACGTTTTAAATACAGTAAATACTACAGTTATGGCATCGCGCATGTACGATCTCGGTGACGTCAACGCGGAAATTGTGACAACTCGGGGGTTGCAGCCAACATGGCATTATACCGCTTGATCGACATCATGCTATTCGCGATGCTCCGGCGAATCGCAGAAAATTCCCTGTCAAGGGAAATTTCTCCGCAAACGCTGTGCTTCGAACGTCAAAGGCGAACGAACGACGCGTGGCCGCGAGAATCAATAACGATGACTGGCGGCACGATTATATTAATTGGACACCGCGCCGTCAAAACGGCGACTGCGGCCGATATACGATTAAGGTCACATATATATATATTATACGCACATGATATGCGATGCGCACGATAGCCGAGGGTCTCTCGCTGACCTCGGCGCGCGGCGACGACGTCTCGGACCTCGCCATCGCTCCGGCGGGCCGGAGAACCCCGGGCTCGACGCGGCTCGCGACGACGACGAAGGACGACACGGCCGTGAGGGGTTCGAGGTTCGCGACTTCTAAATTTAACTTGTCCGGCAGACCGGCGACCGTCCTCCGCACGTTACTCCGGGTACTCTTCGTGTCGCGTCAGTCGGGGACGGCGCAGACCCGCGTGCGCCTCTCGTTGCTTCTCATCGACCGCGCGTCGACGTTCGTGGCGACGGCGACACGCGCGAAATACAAAGCCTGATCTGCACGCTGTAAAGGATTCGGACCGAACGAAAAGCGCGAACGAACGCGGAAAAAATCAATTTGCTTCGACGAGCGTGAACGACACCGCGCGAGTACTACAAACGAGGCCGAATTTGCATTGAGTACGCTGATTTAGATGGGAAAGGCGCTCGTAAATGTTCGAACGAAGTCGATCATTCTTCGTCCTATAGCTTATGTTCCGGATTCACCTTCGCAGTTCCGTACGGCGAGGGCCATACGATCGGTTATATAGGGATACTCGTGAAATTAATTCGACGACAAACTCCTTAATTCCTCCAAGTTCAATATTAAGTATAAGTAAACTAAACGCTAGACTCGTAAACGACGATTTGCACGATCGGCTTCTTGGGCGCCGTCGCGGATGCGGCGATATCGCGCAGCATCGCCTCCACGGCTTCCTCCCAGTCTTGGTCCTTCGTGACGCCCCGGTCGATGGACCCCGACCACCTCAGACGCGGCATAGATATGACCGTCAGTACTTTCCTGAAATCGGTATTTCGTTGTTAATCCCCTTCGAACGATTTCTTCGAAATTAACGGGTGCAATGGAGAAAATTATAATTTATCAACGTTCTCTATATATATAATTAGATAATTGTAGAGGAAATTTAAATGATGAAGAGATATGTATATTACCGCAAATCAGAGTGTAGCGCCGACATGTCGCCGCCCGCCTGTTCGCCGAGTTTCCTGAGAGCCTCGGCCAATGGACCACTCAGTCTTTGCAGCCTCCTCCAGGACTGAGTGTATTGTCGTCTGACGAGCTCGATGATGGTGCTAGTCAGCGCCAAGCCGACCAAGATGTATAAAGTACACAACAAGGTGTACTTCGGCTTCTCTGAATGAGATATAGCTGATATATAATATATACACATATTAATTTCACACAAACGAATATTAGTGAATTGTCTATTTTTATTGAGATTAAGTCCTGCCTTTATTAACGACTATCTATATTTATATATTATCATTTGACAAATCTCGTATCTTTTCATGCTTTAATCGTTTGATCCTTTTAAAATTAGAAGAGTACTAAAATTTTTAATAAAATCACAATCTATAAAAATTTTTCATATTAGAATTACTGAAGTATAGTAATCATTGTTAATTATATATATCTTTTGGGAGATGAAAGAAATTGTTACTTACTCGGGACGAGATCGCCGAAGCCTATAGTGGTCATAGTTACGAAGCAGAAGTAAAATCCGTCGAAAAAATCCCAATCGTCCTCCCACAGCATAAACATACCAGCACCGCAGGCGAGATATAGGAAGAGTAGCACAATGGCGGCACAGGCACCTGCGAAGGAAACTATCAGACTGGAAATTAGCTGATTGTGAATCAATAATTATATCGACGAAACTCACCGAGCGATCGTCGGCCGGCCACGTTTGTCGGAATGCACGAAAACTTCGCGCGAAACGGAAATTTTGACTTCGTCATCAACCCTATGTGCACCACCACGCTCGCAAATAACTTTCCCCAGTCGGCGATCACTATCAGAGTGAGAGGTATACCGACGAAAGCGAAGAAGATGCAGAAGATCCTTCCCCAGTTGGTCGAGGGCACAACATTGCCGTATCCTATCAAATGCAATTCATCGTAGACTCGTATAAAGATAAGAGCTAGGCTGCATAGCAAAAGGTAGTCGAAATTTCCAACTTTGTCCGACTTTAGGGATAGCAGAGAGAAAGACAGAAAATTTTAGAATAAGATTATTATTTTTTTCTTATTATGATTCCGTATTATTAAGAAAATCTTTGATAAATGAACTCTTTGCTGCGATAATTAAAGCTGGATACCGATTGTCGTGAGAACGGTACTGGCGAAGAACACCGCCTGGAGAACGCTCCATCTCTCCGTCACGATTGGTGGCAGTTCCGATTCGGAATCGTTCTGATCAGTGATATCCGTTACGAAGCTGACCAGCAGACCCGCCTCCGCTGCTTCTTGGACCGCTTCTTCGTAGGCGCGTAATTTCACGCTCACCTGGAAGATACCCATGCATCGTGTCGGACGGTGATGAACAACGAGTAACACTTGCGTTTCGACGTCGCTAATTTCTCACCAGGGTATGCAGATTGAAGACGTCCGTGTTATTGGAAATCGACTCCACGAAGCGATATCGTTGCGTACGTAATCTCGCGCGCAAACGCTCGAGTCGTCTGAGCTCCGCCGGAAGTTCGATCTGCCGAAAAACCTGGAGACGCGTTCGAAATTCAAAATTTTATGTAACAATTTTGCTAAATCGTCTTGAGTCACACAAAGCTAAGCTGTTTACGACTTAAATTTAACACGTCTTATAGCAGGTTTTGTACGCCACAGTAGAAATCTTGTTATTATAAGCATGTAAATCTAATGATAAAATATCGTATAATATGATTAAATATAATGAAATAAAATTATATCTTCAAAGAAGTTGAAAGAAGCACACTTTTGTAAAATGTTTAAATAAGACTATACTTTAAAGAGTGTTGAATAGCATATTTTTTACTTTACATTACATTGTTACTCATTGTCAGTTAGTTATGTCATTCCAAATTTTACGTAGATAGTATTTTTATTTTTTACAAGCGTTTTAAAACATTCCGCGGATGACCATTGTGAGATTAATAACTTAATAATAACCGTATTAAACTCTTAGAGAAGTTGGATATGCTGCGTTGGATATCAATGTATCTTTTTTTACAGAAATATCACGATATATTAACGATCGAAGTCAATGATAGATCGATAAATTTTTAAATCGTAGGAGATGTATTGCTCTCGCGAGTTTCGAGTGCTATTTCAGGCTAATGAGTATAAACCAGTCGATATGCATATTTGTCGAGCAAATGCACATCCATCTGCACTGTTTACAAGGATCGTTGACGCTGTTTACTAACGACTCACTGATGTATCATCATCGATGCATGTTGAAATTAATATCCGATTTGTCGGATTATAATATGTAAGACAGTCTCGTAACGCTAGAGAATTTTATTATATTTTCGATTGTCATAGCAGATGAATCATTTCGAAGAAAGCGGGACATCCCGTCGATTTCTTGACTATTCCAACAGTTATATCATACAATAATTAATTTTTTAAATTATTATTCATCAATTTTATATTACATTTACATACAATTGTCTTTCGAGCCGTTCTCACGAGTCGAGAACTTGATGGACGTACGTATAAATGATTCGGGTTCATTGAGAAGCATCGTTTAGGATAAATAACCATTTCCGCGGCTGTTTTATGGTGCACTCAAAAAATCATGACCATCGTGAATTTCAACGCATTGATATTTTTACGCGGACTTCATTGAAGGCGCGCGTCAGTATTAGTAATGTACAGCTTCCTATGAAAACCGTGCGATTGGCCGTGCGTCGCTAAAAATAAAGGTACGATTCGGTAGGCTATAAGTCCGTTCGTTATTGTACGGAATGTAAATATTTACGGAGCATCGAATACATTTAACTCCACCCTGGAAATCTCGATGTTTTCACCCAAACGTGAATCCGTGCGCACGACTCGTGCGAACAACTCTCGTGGATTCGAAATATCTCGCGTCGCCGGCACCTCGTCGCTCGACTCTTTTTTTTTTTCGCTCTTTCTTGTCGCGCGCCTTATGTAATCCCCGACGAGTTTTCCTCAAAATTGAAATCGAACGGAAATCGAACGTAATTGATTTGCGTGCCCGCAATATATCGCGATCAATCGGACGCGAATAGACGAGGAATTCGGAAAGCGAAGAATAAACGGATTGTTCACGCGCCGCTCGATCACGATCGAGTCCCCTATACTTGCGTCCGCATTTGTTACAGCTAGAGAGGATGTTTTATGAAATTAATCTCTACTTTCACGAATGCCAATTTTTAGGTAAAACTCGTCGTCAACGAGATCAGCTTTGAATCTCGTTTGTTATCTCTGTTTTATTACTGAAGAGGTGTTGAAGACGTCAATCATTCTCGAGACAATTAATGCCGTCTTCATTCTCGAGAGACTCACCAGCCCGCCGATCGCGGTGTAAAGCATCAGGGTGATCAACAGACCCACGTGACCGCCGATCGACTTGATCTTCCGCAGCGTTTCTTTCGAGATGAATCGTCCGATGTTCTCGCTGTTCGTCGCGGCGCCGATTTCGACGGGCGAATTGCACTTGTTGCCGTTCGTCATTACGCCCGTTTTGTTTTCCACGAGAGACGTAGGCGCGCCGACCACTCGGAGAGGACTGATCGGCATGCTGTGCTCCGCGATCTCTCTCCCGAGCAGCTAGAGAACCGTGCTGCATCTCGAACTGCGATATTGAATTGCAGCAGAAATTAATGTAATAATAACATACGCGTAAACTCGTGAAAACAAGTAGCGTATGGAAGAAAAGAAATGAAAAGCAGGAGAAACAGCGAATTAATTTTATGCGCAATGTCTATAATGCTCAAAATCTCGAATGTATAATTTATACAGAAAATTAAGCATAATTATTTTTTTATATACATATATATATATATATATATATATATATGTATATATTTATGCATATATCCTACCAACTCATTTAAAAAAAAAAAAGATTACGCCAAGTATATAAAAAAGGATTCTACATTACATCTTTCCTAAACCTAAATATTATTTCAGCAAATAAAAATTGTCCAAAAACAAATATGAGATCATACAAATTGCCAAGTATTGATTAGACATAGAAACAAAAAATGATTTTTTAATTAACCGCTTAACCATCCAAAAGTATATGCAGCAAAAGTTTAATGCC